AAAAAAAAAAAAAAAAAAAAAAAAAAAAAAGGAAAAGGAAAGGAGGCGGGGGGGAAAGAAAACCACCCCAAAAAACTTTTCTTTCCTCCCCCCAGAACTTCCTGGGAGGACCCGGGCAGGCCAATGGCAGCCGCCGCCGCCGCCCCGACCGCCCGCAGCCAATGGAGCCGCCGGGGCGGGCGAGGCCGCCGGTCCGCACGGAAAGGGGCGGCGGCCCCGGGGCGGTGTGGACGGGACGGGACGGGACGGGGGCGATGCTGGGGCTGAGCCGTGTCCTCTTCCCGCCCCGCTGACCCGGGAAAGGTGAAGCCCTGGGAGGGACGGGTTCAGCCCTTCCCCGGGAAGGGACTGCCAGGAGCCCAGCTGTTACCCGGGCAGGGTTTGCTCTCAGGCTGGGATTTTTCGCAGGCAGAGATTTTTCAGCAGTGCACACAATGGAGTCCTCGCCTTGGCTCCTGGGGCTCCTCGGTTTTATCCGACCAACTGAACCTCTCTGGGCTCGTGGCATGGGATGGTAGGAGGCCATGGGGAGAGTCCTGGTGCCCCTGGAAAGCCACGCCAGCTGGCCTCACTCAGGAAAGGGAATTGCTAGAGAGGGTCCCAAAGGAAAAGGGGAGCGGGACTGTACATCACAAAATGCCAGGCTCTACTGTGCAATCACACTAAGGTGATGCTACTTGCTGCAAGGCAAAGGAAAGGTGCCAGAGCTCAGTGCTGAGGAAACCTGGCACAGCTGGGGAGATCTGGCCCAGTTGTACAGGGTGAGTTCAGGGCTTTGGGCTCCTCTCTGGCCTGATGCAGGGAAGTGAGGGAAAGGACGTCACCCGTTTCGAGTTTCAGAGGCCTTTGACAGCCTCTTTCCTGGCTGCAGTTTGTCCTTGTATAAAGAACAAAGCCAAGTCCTAGCAGAGGATGACCTGGCTGAGATGACTGATGTGCACAGAGGGGGACAGAGGCAGGAACTCATGTGCAGCTGCCAGCTACATGGGCTCCCGGAACACTTTCTGCAGCCCTCCGTAGCTGCTGCAATGCCATTTTGCAGGAATACCAACACAATACACTGTATCTTCTTTCACACCACTAAAGCTCACTTCATCTCTGTAAAACCCTCTGTGCCATCACAGCACTGGCCAATAATAAAGCAAAGGAAAGCAGCTGTACTGAGATTTTAGTCCCAGGTCCACTGTTTGCCCTTGTCTGGCTTTATCAAAAGGCTCAGTGCCTCAGTTTCCCCACTTGAGAAAAGGGGGAAGGACAAAGCAAAGGGGAGTGCTAGTGAGCAAAGCGTTCAGGACATCGTGGGAAGGCAGCACCATCCTGGACCTGCTCAGGTCAAGTGCTGAAGAGCTAGGTCCTGCCCACAGTGACCCCCAGAGAAGGGCAGCTGCCCTTCCTCACAATTCCCAGGGCCTGGCCCCTACCTTGTTGTGCTTCTTACTGGCATTCAAATGTGGCTGTGGGCTTCCTGAGGAGCCAGTGCTGCTTTGCAGTGGGAAGGTGCTTCCACCCAGCTGGGGCTGCAGGGGAGAAAGCAGGAGCTGAAGCCATTGGGGTTTAGTCCTCAACTCAGTGTCCCAGATCCAAGCATCCATCTCCTGGCGTGGGCCAGGGAAGAAAACATCTTCCCTCCTCCCAGTGCCAGGCAGGCAGTACTGTTTCCCTGGAGAAGCAGAGGATCCGAGGGAATCAGGGTGCACAGATTTGCAACCCAGGGGACCCACCCAATCTGTGCTTGCCAGTTTTAGGCCTTGCAGGGTCCCCATCACCTCTGGCTCCTGCCCTACTCACATGGTAAATGAGAAGACTCTTGTTCCCCCAGTCAGTTTCCAATGGCTTCTCAGTGTTGTGTGTATCTCGTGTGTGCTCAGGACCCTTCCAGTCCTCCTCCAGACGCTGTGCTGGACTCTCAGGCCTTTTCCAGCTATCATCCGACCGTAGTCCCACATCCAGACACCTAGCAGGGCTTTTCCAGTCCCTTTCCAGCTGGCGCATCACATCCGCGTGGCACACAGGCATCTCTTGGCGCTTTGAGTCCTTCTCCCGCACCTGTGTGTGGTGGGCATCCCCCCGGCCCCTCCAGTCCTGCTCCAGAGGTTGTGTTGGGCTTGTGGGGCGCAGGGGCTTGCCTCGGCCTTTGCAGTCACTGCTGGTGCCCCTTCCAGGTTGGGAGGATGTCAGCTTTTCCCGGAGGCTCTGCCAGCTGCATTCCGATGGCTTCCTGGGCCCTGCAAGGTGCAGCGGCCCCCCCGGCTTCACTCGCTGCCTCTCTGCCCCCCGCACCAAGCTGGGAGGGGAGATCTCCTTTTGGCTTTTCCTTGTGCTCTCTGTACGCCTCCCAGGACTGAGGGCCCACGGTGATGGCCCTGCCTGGCTCAGCCTGACGTTATCTGAGCCCTTCCCAGCACCTGCCGAGTGCAGGGAATCCCCTCGGCTTTTCTTCTCCAGTGCTTGCCGTGTACCCCCTGCTTGCCAGGTGGCTCGGCCCCTATCCGAGCTTGGGGGGCGGGCAGGCTCCCCTTGGCTTCTCCAGCTTTTCTCAGTGCGACAGGGAGGGTTCACGGGCTCCCCTGCTCTCCTCTCCGACCTGCGGGCTGGGCTCGCAGAGCGTGGGCTCCGGCTGCCTCTCTCCAGCAGCCAGCCGGGGCTGGCAGGGCGTGGGGAGTCCCCCCGGCTCCTGCTGGCCTTCTCGGGGTGCCGAGCTGGGCTGGGGGAACGCCGGGGCTCCTTGGGGTCTCTGCCGCGCTGCTCGAGCTGCCAGGAGAGTCGCTGACCCTGGGTCACGGGGGAGAGAGAGCAGGGAGGCCTCTTAAAAAAGTGCCAATAAGCAGATCAAGATGGGATTAGGGCTGGCAGGTGATTTGGTTAAATGGTTCCCTAGAGAGCGGTAGCATTCCTGTGCATGGAGCCAGTCCATACTGTAGAGAAGCCTCTCTGCACCCAAAGGGTGAAAGGGCTGCTCAATTTTAAGAGCCAAGGGTCCCGATCCATGACAGAGGGAGAGCTGGGATTAAAGGGAAGAGGGAGAAGAGGAATGAAAGAGAGAAGCACGTGGCAGAAGTAGAGGAAAATGTGACAGGAAAAAGCAACTCAGCTTGCAGGGTTGGGATGAGGTCCTGCTGTGCAGCCAAGCCTCACCTCCCTGGGCAGGTTGGGGCTGGACCGCCTTCGAGTCAGGTGGCCTTTGCTGGGTGGCACCGGCGTCTTGCCATCGAGCCGGTCCACACGGCCCTCCTCCAGAGCCTGGAAGGCCTCCAGCGTCTCTGATTTCCTGTGGGCACACACAGTTGGTCCAGCTGCCACCCTGCGCAGCTTGGACGCAGAGCCCCAGCAAACCCTGCTCCACCTTATCCTGACCCCACAGATCTCCACCTGCCCCAGATGCTGTGTGTGCCGTAGCCTCTCCCTGTCCCCGTCAACCACCTCAGCTTTCATATCCTGCTGCCTCACCCATGTCTTCTTCACACTATTCCTCAAGCTTCCCTCCTCATCTTTACATCCCACCCACTTGCCCAGGATCCTTTCCCAGTCCCTCTTTATGTCCCCTCCTGCCCTGTGCTACCAGCCCTGGAGTTGCTCTTGCTCCTCCAGCTAAAGCCTAAACAGCCGCTGGGTACTTTTTGGCATCCCCCATCATTCCCTGAGTGGCTCCTGCAGTGAATGTGGAATCCCTGGGGAACTACTGATGCTGGGATTGGGGAGCACCTCTTCCCTTCCCCTTTTACTGTGGGGAGCCCTGCTTCGCAGCATGTCCTGCAGCTTCCAGGAGGCTGTGAGGATGAGGAAGGTAGGCTGCTCCCTTCTAGCAGTGCAGCTTAGCTCCACCTTTCCAACAACGTCAGCTGCCTGTGTGCCACAATGGAGGAGGCTCTGAGCCTAGACCCAACCCTTGCTTTGAGGGAAATTTAAGTAAAGCTGAAAGCTGAGCTCTGCCATCTAGCCCTGCCTTCCCCCTGAAGCACGGTGAGTCAGGGGTGGGGGCCTGCACAGAAGGGCAATCCCCTGCCTCTGATCACTGTGGAGTCCCATTACTTCTCACCTGCGTTCGCATCCAAATATTCTCTCCACCTCCACTCGGCCAGGGCTGAGTGTCCGGGAGCCATAGCGGTCAACAGCATCCCGCTGGCTGAGGCGCTTGGGCTTGGGCAGGTCAGCCAGCACCGTGTACTCCTGCCTCTCCAGCCCGTGCCGCCCCTCTGCACCCCCTCCGCCGGAGTGCCCGTGGGACTCCCGAGCCCGTGGGCCAGGGAGGTGCCCACCGCCGCCCAGCAGGTCACTGCGGGCCGGCGGGGAGCCGGCTGGGGCACGCGGCAGGGTGGATGACCAGGGAGGGTCAGTTTTTCGGTGCTTTGGCCAGCTCTCCTCAGGCTTCTGGCTGGCAGGACGGTGCTCTGGGACGGGGAGAAGGCCGTTACTGGGGGAGGCGCGAGCGACGCGGGATGCCACCACGTCCACGGCAAAGCAGGTCTTCGGAGGAGAGCTAGAAATGGTCCAGGAGGGCAGAGATAAAACCCAGACTCCCTCGAGGGGGGCTGGGAGCACTGGAACACAGCACTTCGAGCCGAGGGCATGCCAAACCATGCAGATAGAGAGCACCCGAGATGCCCGCGGTTCACAGTCAAGCACACACACAGATGGACTCTCACATAGTGCCCATGGATGTATTGAACACTTCCTGGGGCCAGAACTAGATAAAGAGACGTTAAATCTAAACAGAGATCTGCCTTGAACCTCAGAGACCCCTGGGTGGAAAGCAAACCAGAACCAGGATCTCACACAGGGGCAAACCAAGAGTACCTGCTTTCAGTGGACAGATTTCTTTCCTAAAGTCCTGGGCTTCAGTTCTCACCCAGGATCCAGAGGGAACAGGCTGAGCCCACCTGGGTCTGTCTGCCTGTGGGGCTTGTGACCGCACCTCCTCCTTACGGCCCAAGTAGCTCATCATGTCCCGTTTGCCCGATCCCAAAGTGTTGTCCCACAAGCGGGTCATTTCCCCTTCCTGGGAGACAAGATAGGGCAGATCTCTGCAATGGGGACTAGTAGCTTTTGTGGGCTGGAAAGAGGTAAGAGTATATATGAAAACTTACAGCCTGTTCAGCCCAAAGCTGCTGGTAAGAAGGAACCAGAAGAGGAGCTGTGGGAGTATAAGATGATGCCAGACCAACGATGGCAAGAAACAATATAGAAAAGTCCACATGGGAGTATCCAAGAGCAAATCTCATGATCTCTTTAGGGGGAGAGCCTCCTTTGTGGGGACTAAGAATCTCAGCTGATCCCCCCTTGCATCTCAGGACCTTAGAATCATAGAAGATCTCAAGTTTTAAGGGACTCATAAGGATCATCAAATCCACCTCCCTGCACATGATTGGCTCCTTCTTGCATCTGCCTGAGGCAGGAGAGCCAGAGGGGCAAATTGAACATGTCTGTTAGCCCAGGAACCTGCTGAATGGGCCCAGCAAAACTGGCATTGAAGGGCCAAGGGAGCTGGGGAGACCAAAATAACCCAAACCACAAGAGATCCCCATCTCACCCTGGCAAGCGTGGAGTTGGCTTCGGCACAGGCGCTGGGGTCGGTGCCAGTTTCTCTGTGCTCACCCTCAGCTCCGGGGCTGAGTGGGGGATATCGCCTGCTCTCGTGCCAGCTGTGGGGCAGGGAGAGAGGACAGCTGGTGGTCAGCACAGCCCGCAGAGCTCAGGGGCGAGTGACAGCACTGGCAGCCCAAGCCACACTGACTCACTCTCTACTGGACGGGCAGAGTGGTGGTCCTGAGACCACCAGCCTTGCTCTGGAGGGAATGAGGATGAAGGAGACTCTTTCAGGGGCCCCCTGACCTCTTCAGGGACAGCCCAGAGGAATGGTCAGAAGGCATGGCATGGGGATTTCTCAGTCCTTTTTCCCAGGCACCAGCGTGCAGAGCATCGGGGGAAAGGCAGCTGATTTCCTCTGCTTGGCTTCCCGCTCCCCCTCCTCTGTTCTTCCCACCGAAGGGGCTTGCTGGAGCAGCAGGGCTCCCGGCTGGTACTCACCGCTCCGCGCCCTCCGCCGGGCCCACACACACGTATACCTCGCACTGTGGGGCTAAAATATGGAGCGAGTCCCAGGGCTCTCCTGGGGCTGTGTCGCTGCAGGCATCGTGCCCTGTGACCGCCGTGGCATGATCCTGCGAGGAAGAAGGGGTGCAATGGTGCTGTCAGCGTGCCAAGGATGAGGATGAAGGCTGCCCCTCGGAAATGCCTGCTTCTTCTACCTCCTCCGAGAGCAGCCTGGCCTTCAGAGCTCTTGATATCTCTCCCAGCCCACCACTGATATTTTCCTCTTACATCAAGAGGCCATAGAGGCCCAGCATGCTCCTATTTGGTGCTGAAGGTTGCAGACATCCCAGAGACTGCATGTGTGGATGAGGGCTCAGGGAAACTGCCCCTGTGTTGGCACTGACCAGCTGGATAGCTCAGGGAGAGGCAGTGGAGTCAAGAGGAAGGATGATTTTTGCAGAAAAGGCTGTAGTCCCAGCCTCTTCCTGTCTCTGTCAGGGTTTGCAGGCGTCTCAGCATCCTCCCTGAGCCCTGTTACCTGCAGGGCTTATGAGCAGCAGTGGGGGAGGCTCCCGGGAGCCGGCTGTCTGCGCCGCCTTCCCTCCAGCGTCTCGCCCGCACCAGGATTCGCTCAGAGGTGACAGCTCTGAGCAGATCGAGGGTGAAGGGCTGAGGTAACCTTAGAGGGCCCAAGGCCAGTAGGAGAGGGGGAGAGGGCGAGAAAGAGAGAGGGAGGCTCATTACTATTTCATCATCCCTGGCCAGTTGCTCCTGGAGGACGTCAAACAACACGAAACCCGCTGTGAACATGAAACCAGCTGTCGCCCAGTCAGAGACAGCCAAGTAGCTTGTGTGTCCAGCTCTGTCCCAAAAGATCATGTTGGGTCAAGGTATCTGGAGCCCAAAACCCCATGAGATTTATCCCTTTCCTGCCTTCTCCTCTGGGAACAGCTAGCTGAAGCTGCCTCAGGGACAGAACCTGGCTCCAAGCCAACAGCTGAGGCCACAGGGAATCGACCAGGACCATATTTAAGGTGAGGCAAAGCTGTAAATGCCAGCAAGCGTCAAGCAGAGATTAATACAGGGTGGATCCCTGCTCTGCCAGTCCCCAATTCCCTCCATGTCACTTTGCATCTGCGACGCCCCTGCTTTCCCTTCCAGGGTCTATCAAGCCCCTTGTATCCAGCATCCAACACGTCTTTGCTAAGCTTGGTTCCTGGCTTTGGTCTGGCACAAGTAAATGAAGCATTCCTATGCCTGGAAAGAAACCTCTCTGCCCATAGAGGTTTTTCCCCACCAAGAAATCTAGAAATCCTGGCTGAGCCTTTGTTTTAGGGATCTTTATCCCTAAAAAGGCAGGTGGGGTCGGGGTATAGACCAAAGAGGCCCCTATTGAAGTGTCCATAGCCTGCAGGTGGGATGGAGGAGCTCACCTGGATAGAATGCTGGTGAGCCCCTGCGGCTCGGAAACAGTGCTGGCACAGGCTCTTTGCAAATATGTTGGCTTCAAAGTTCATGCAAGGCATGTCATCCACCGAACCAGACATTGTGCATAGCAGAGACGAAGATCTTTGGCTGATGGGCTATTGGCTGGGGCCAGCCAGGAGAAAAAGGAGGAAGAAACAGCAGCAGAAGAAGCTGTGGAAGAGGAATGTTATTTCCAGAGTGAAGTTTGCTGCTCCCAACTGTCAATACTGGGATCAAAGGGAACCCAAGTACAAGGTGATCCATAAAAAGACAGGTAATAAAAGAATGCGCTCTAACAGGGACCTCTTTTGGAAGGGGCACTGCACCCTGAAATGACTGCTGACACCCTTCAATTTGGGAGGCCTTGTGAATGGAGGGAATGATGCACAAGTCCTGTTCCTTTGATAGAAATGTTCTTTCCCTCTTAAAAGGCACAGAAACTAAGCCTTACTTCTTAATTATGTTGGTCATAAAGGGATGCAGCTTAGGAAACTTGGAAACCCACTGAAACTCTTTCTAAACTTGTTAATCCTACTAAAATTTTGAGATCTGTAGGACAGTGGACTGTAAAACTGTGAAGGGCAACAAGCATTGCTAGCAGGACAACTGGGCTCCACACTTCTGGATTTTTGCGAGCATCCAGCTCACCATCACCTCTGTCCTGCAGGGTTTGAGAGTGAGTCCTCGGACTTGAGGATGTGATCTGAGCTGGGAGGGCTCTGTCTAATTTGCCTGGAGAAGGCACAAGCAGAAGGACAGGAAATCAGACCAGCATCTGAGATGTGAACGTGCCACTGGTGCCCTAAATATGGTCATTGGAGTCAGAGCAGCTGATCAAGGCTATGGCTGCTCCCCAAAACAACCAAGGCCAAACGTCAATGCCAAAAACAAAGCGAGAATTTTTGTTTGTCACTGCACTCATTTTCAGAACAGCAAGTTGCACTAGGTGCCAGGCTTGCAGCATCCTTCCTCACACTAGGGCATGTCTGCTTGACTTGTTCACACAAAATGCTTCACGGGAGCCTAAGCACTCCCCTGCCAGGGATGCAGCACAAAGCACGCCAACATCGCCGCCCACCACTGCCCATGGACTGCCCCCCGTGGCTGGAGCCCCTGCTACCCCACTCCCTGATGGGCAAATCATTACTCCCCACATCCCTCGGGGCCTACTGTCAGGATAATGCTGTCATCCCCAGGGCCTCTAGCATGGATGCACGCATGCAGCCGGCCGTGCTCTGTGCTCCCAGTCCCTCCCAGTATCCCCAGTACCTCAGTTTCCCTACGGCTCCCAGCACGTCGCCGCCCGCCGAGCTCCCCCCTCAATGAAGCTCGCCGTGGGAACCGCGGGGAGCGATGCCCCGCCCCCTCCCCTCTGATTGGCTGCCGCCGGGCAGCGATTTGAATACCGCCTCCTGAGTGGTCGGCAGCGGCGCGCGGCCATGGCGCCCAGGCGCGCGGGCTCGCACGTGCAGTGGGCGGCGATGGAGCGGCCGTGCCAGACCCAGGCCCGATGGAGCGGTCCCTTCCCTTCCCTTCCCTTCCCTTCCCTTCCCTTCCCTTC